GGTTTTTACCATCAACCATAACTAAATTAGAATCACAAGGAGTATCATTAACTGATTCAGTAACAACAGTAATGTTCACAAAAAATAAATTGGACGAAGTTGCGGGTGACGTTGGAATGAAAGTAAAAACAAAATTCAACCAAGTTTTAGAAAAAAATGATGGGTTTGCAATAATATTAAAAATTTTAAAAATTTTGAATGGAGAAAGTTCATCGATGGATGGTTTACCAGAAGACCTAACGGGAAATGATTTAACATTTTATAAATATGCACCAGTAACATCAACAGACGTCGAAAGAAGTTTTTCAAGGTACAAAACCATACTGGCTGACAATCGGCGATCATTCGACGTAGAAAATATTAAAAAAACGTTAGTTGTGCAATGCAATAATTTATCAGGTAAGAAAAATATGTTATTATATTATTTTAAAACTGTTTTTGTATTAATATATTTTATATTTATTTTAAGGATAAGTCAAAAATTTGAGATTGAAGATAACCATACTAACAATCGGCGATCATTCGACGTAGAAAATATTTACAATAAAATAATTGTGCAATGCAATGATTTTTAAATTTCTTTTATATCTAATTTTTTAATTTTACTAAATTATAATTTAGTTTTTGTGCATATTATCTTGCATATTTAATGAATTTGAATGCATATTTTCAATTTTTTATGTGCATATTTTTCCAATTTTACCTCCTATAACTTCTCTGCCCTATTGATAAGTATATTATTAAGACATTGAATTAATTACTATTTTTCTTTTGACAAGAATTCAAGAAGTTTGCAAAGTTTTACACCAAAATTGCATTAATTCGATTCTTCTAAGAAACTTTAACCAAGACTCCTTGGAAAACTTTTATGGTCAAATGCGTGCTCATGGTTATAGAAACAACAACCCCACGTGTGATATGTTTGCTGCTTCATACAGAACCCTACTTTTAAATAATTTAATGTCTGCTCACTCACCCGGCAGTAATTGTGAAGAAGATTTCAGCGAAGGGACTTTGACAACATATCAGTCTTTATTCAAGATGTATGCAAATGATATGACAGAACATGATGGAGAAAATACAGAAAACAGAGTGGCTGATGGATTACCTAAGTTAATTGGTTGTGACTCTGAAATTGAAAATAATTTAGGTTCACAAACCAAAACATATATTGCTGGGTATGTAATCAAAAAATTGAATACTACTCTTTTTAAAGGATGCGTTACATGTTTATCATACATTTGTTCGGAATCTTTAACCAAAGACCACAATATTATTGTTACGAGAGATTATAACCCTGGCAAGTTACTTTTAAGGTATCCAAATGCAATTTTTAATGAATTAGTCCAAAAATCAATAGACATTATTGGACATTATTTATCATCTATATGCCACCATAGAAACCTTAAAGTGGAATTAAGTTCAATTATTGTAGAAAGTTTAAATGTTAATATAATAAAATGTGCTGATCATGGAAGTTTGTTCCCAACAAAATTTGTCAATTTTATTATTAAAGTTATTGTTCATAATTGGTGCGCCCAAGTAAACCGCATTATGAATGGTGAGATTAGATTGCCAAAAAACGAAACTGATCAAATTAAATGAAATGCTCTTTGTCGATATGAAACCTTTTCTAAAAAAAAAAAATATTAAAAAGGCGGTTGCTTATTTATATGTTTATATAATATGTTTCATATACTTATACTATTATTATATTTTGTTTATTGTTATAAAATTTAAAATTTTTCATATCTCTATTTAATTCAACTTAGTTTGAATTAATCACTTTATGTTATGCTGATGAATATTTTTAATGTGTTTTAAAATAAAAAAAATAATTCATATTTAATATTTTGGTGGTTTTCCTATCTATTTATTTTAATAGGTACCTAATTAATTTAACAACATATTTTTCATTAGATAACCCACAGAAAATAATTCATCTGTATTTTCGATGCGGTATTTAAACATTGTAAGTATGTGGTTCTAATAGTTTTCAAATCATAGCCAGAAATTAGAGTAATCAATTATAAATAAAAAGGAAAAAAAATGAATTTGAAAAACGGCGGCAAAAATATTTCCGCTGCTACTAATTCCTTACACCAAATACCAGGAGCGCTGTTTTCAATGTTCCAAAAATTAACACTGCGGTTGCCTATCTATTAGTATTCTTGTCTATGGTCTGATGTTGCGTGGTTGTGCACAGGCGGTGGTAATTCTATAGAGCATAATTGAACAATGCTAGTTCTTCCATCCGACACCGAGCGCTTGTGTCGTGGTCTCGTCGGCAACCTAACCTGGCGCCGGGCGGCATAATTGTCATTTCCGATTTACCATAGAATAGAACGTCATTAGTGGCCTTTAGACGAGGGATTTTTCGTGCGCGATTGGGTTGGCACGCTGTGCGGGCAGTGAATCTTGAAGGACTGGCGCATGACGAGCCAAAAGTGTGCTTGAAAATAGCCTCCTTTAGTCTGTAAGCGATTTCGGGCGCGCTTGGAATGGACGCGTGATAAAACTTTGTGTTTAAACATAAAATAGTGGGGCGTCTTAGCACTTGTCCAGCCCAGCAAAGACTTGTCGCCCGTACCAAAACCGTCGTGTTATCCATGACAAATTAAATAGGTATGTCAGCAACTTAGTGATACGCACAAAATGGCGTACGTCGTTCGCCTATTATCAATTATTATTGTGTCAGTACAAAAGTATCGCGCTATTATGTTATCACAATATCTTATATCGCATGTTATGATTTATGAATTAAAAAAAAAAATTAACGAGTCAAGTGTAATTATTTCTAATTTATTTGGTAAACTTTTTAATTTTAAATTTTGACGTTTTTGTAAACTGCGTATGAAGAATATCTTTGTTTAAATTATTTATTCTTATGTAAGTCCTTGTGCGAACAAAACACTGTATCACTTCTTCAGGTATATTTTTTATTTTCTCCATCACAGTAGAAGTTAATTTTTTGAAAATGTTGGGCTCATTATTCAAAAAATTGCCGTGTAATTCTTTGAAGTCAA